CAGGGTGGAGGACTTGAACCCAGGACACCGCATTACAAGTCCAGCACCCTAACCACTCGGCCACGCCGCCTCCGATCTATGATTAACGCAGAGATTCAAAATGCCACCCAAGACAGCGTTGTAGAAAGAAAAAGTAAGATTTTGGTGGGATTTCATGCTTCCCGTTCAAGCAATCATTTCTTAGAAAAAAGGAACCTTATAGAAAATTTCTAATCTAAAACTATCACCAAAATCCTGATCATGACATTGCTGTAATTCCAGTCGAAAAAAAACATCTGGGCCTGTTGGTACTAGGAAAAATTATTCGACTTCTCAAAGTCCTCTAGTTTACCACCTCATACATGACACGTGTCACATATCCTTAGCTGATCTAATAATCATTCGCCTACAGGGCGGGTCTTGCTTGTGAATTCGTTAAAGAACCAGCATGCTTAGCATCCTTTTTTCAGTTTATTTGTAGTGATATGACATAGTTTTAAAAGATGCTGTGCATAATGTCCGCAAGATTTTGCCGAGTCGCCTCAACACCCACCGTTTCCTTCTTTCAGAGCATTTATACTAATGTAAATACTGAGTTCTGATTGGATTTTTTTACTCGTGTTCGTCAGCCCATAGTTAGAGTAAGAGTGCTTCTCGATTTGATGTCATAAAACCAAATCCAAAGTTATAACAGCGACCAATTAGAGGAAAGGCAAATGTCCTCAAGAACCAATAAGAACTCAAAGTAAAACCAAGCAAACTGCCCAAAGCGCAGGAAACACGAATGATGAAGTCGAGTTTGGCTTTAGTCAGTTGCTGACTGATTAGTTGGGAGAGTGGGGCGAGTTTTCTGGACCAATCATAGAGCGAAGTGAAGCAAAAGCAACGCAAGCTCGCACTGCTTTCGTTGTCCAAATGAAAATCGCTCTAGTAGGAGACCACTACTTTCTATCAGGATGAGTTTTGTATTAACACTTCAGGAATAAATCATTTGCACGCAACAGAAATTAGGTGTTGAGCTCTCTACTGATCTCGGTCTGTAAATCTTGAGCACCTCGTCTAATACCGTATTCTTCATCCTGTTTTCGAGTCTAGCGACTTTCTTTGACCTTACGCGTCTCTGCTTCTCAAAAAAAAGTACGATTAATGAAGGTATAGAATTAAAGGCACACTTTGATTTCAGCTTTCAACATAATGCTCCAAATCCAAACAATCATTGTCAACGGTGCTTATCGCCACATTATCGAGCTTAACCGATTAAAATTCCAGAAAAACAATTTGCATAACTAATCGATTTCTTTTTATTCAAAGCCACGCGCAAAACGTGACTTGAAGAGTAATTGGGGCATAAAGTTAGGCAATCGGCACGATTTACAGTGACAGGAAGCTGACTGGGGCACGCATGCAAATGGGGGAAACAATCTTCTCGCGACAATCTTCAGGGTCCACATCCTATCCGAAAACCAGTGAACAGAAAATTTACTTCAAGGACGGCTTGAGTTGTTCGAACAGTTGGAAGCTCTTTAGGCTCAGTGAACGGAAACCTAGACATGACAAAGAGCATGCACATTGGTTAGCAGTGACGGTGTCATGTTATAAGCTTAGGGATGAGTCCTCCCTCTCTCCTTAGCCGACCTGTCCAACATGATTTCTTTTGAAAAGCACACAGTTAAAGCGGTTGAATTGAAATGATAAAAATTTTGTTTTGAAAAAGTGATCCAACCTAGTTAGATGAATCCTGCGAAGCTAATTATTGGGAATCAATTAATCGATTGGGTGCATCTATTCGATCTTATTTTCCTGAACCCCATCAAAATACACTTGAACAAGCCAAGCTTACAGAAAAAATTGTAGTGATAGATGCGAACTGTTTGGGGCTAACAAAAGGCTTTGACCTGATCAAAATATATTTGTTATGAGAAGAAAATACAAAAGAAAACAAGGGGATTACAGCTGGCTGGTGTCGATGGATTTAGAAAGGTGTCTTGAGGCTTATTATGGACAATGTATGCTTTGTGGCAGATTTAATGAAAGCTTACATTCCACGTTACTCAGAGAGAATTAGTTTAAATTCATATTACCGAAGAATTACGGGAGGGAGTTCACTGAGAGCAATAGAAATGTTGATATATCGTTCTTTTGTGGAAAAACCACAAGTGATAAACACAGGAGGACTGCAGGGATCCAGAGGATCGGAACTCATGAAAATCAAGTCACGCGCACATTTTTTCTGTATGTCATGCTGCTTTTCTTACAACTGTTCTGTGGTTTCTTTAACAAAGAATATCAGTGAACCAATGAAACACCAACTTAATCG